ATATATATATATATATATAAAATATCTAGAGTCATCATGTGTAACTCTATATGTATGTTCCAATTACAAGTTAATATCAATGAAGTTTCAGAATTTCTCTTTCGATCTCAATTTTTCAAAAAAAAAATCAACTGGAAATAATCTATAAAAAGAAAACTTTTTCCGTTTATAAAATATAGAGATAGGAATGAAAATTAATTAGGCGTTAATTAAAGTCAAATACTGCTGAATTCTCGAGATTTACATAAACTTAATGTTTTTACTATATTTTTACCTGATTCAGTGTCAACCGGAAAGCGTACTGCACAACATGGGTCGAACGCATCTCGTTATTGCAGTTTCTTTGTGTATTCTGAAGAAAAAAAAAAATAATTTATATAAGTATCTTCTCTAAGTAAACTTTCTTACTCGATGAACAGTTTGCGAATGATTTTCAATTAATGTTCGCTAAATATCTTCGAGTTACGAGTTGCACATCGCTTCATTTCCGAGAATAATGAATGAAAACGAAATAGAAAACGAACCGTACTTTTTTTTCTCGATGAGACACGTGAGAAAACATGCACTTGCTTATTGTTAATTCGGCTGTGCGTCGAATGAAACGCGAATTATGAAACGGACGAATAAGAAGTACATCGAGGCTACGAGAACTTTATAGATTTATAAAAGAGAAAAATTCTTTACCAGCTCTTATCACTCGCAAATAATAAATTTGGGACGAGATTATCAACACTCGTCTAAATCATAAAACATTGTTAAGTATATGTTTCCCATCTATATAGCAAAAAAAAAAAAATAAACACGACATCGAGATGTTACATCAAAACGCCACGATTAATAAAAACATAAAAAAGATATGTAACTAAGTAAAAAAAGATGTGTAATTTAAAATCTGTGTGATGTTAATAATCTTTTTAATACGAAATATAAAATTCCATAAGTAAGATTAAACGTTTAATTTTTTTCAAATTATGCCTCACAAATGAGCGAGATTCAAGTATCTCGCTCTCTTCTAAATGATAGATAAAATAAAAATCGAAGACTGTTTTTTTAGCTACTTGGAGAAATTTTTCAAGATTTTAAAAGCACAAAGTTAACGATATTAATTTAATTTAATTTTTCAAATACTTGAAAAACAAATATAGGACTGCAAAAAGTTAAGGATTAACGTCGCCAAAGAAGCTGTTGCACACGAACATTAACATTTTTTTGTAATTTATGTATAAAAATCGACAAATGTTTCTCGATAAAAAAATATAAAAAATAGTTTGTCAGATAGTGAAATAATTCAGAGTCAATCAAAATTATGAAAAAAAGAGGATATTTACTTAAACATCAATAAAGAAAAAAGCTTCCTTGCTGGTCTGATATCACAAGATATCAGACCTGACGAGCTACATCGCGAGGAAAATAATGCAAAACAATCGAACCAGCCTACTCTTTAATGTTGCGCGTCATCGAGTTATCACGAGTGACGCGAAGATGCGACGAAGACTTGTTTGTAGCGGATATTTCCGATTAATACATTCTGATGCGCTATTGACAATTATCAGGAGTTGCCACAATCGTTTCTCTTGTACCAATCTTATTCAATGTTGCTTGGCGAAAAGGATTGTTGTTAATTCGTAAGAGCAAAAAACGAATGGGCACATGATTCAAAAGATGAACTCCTTCATGAACATCGTTATCAATAAATAGCTGTCCATCACTATCAAACACTGATATGACCTAAATCGTTACACGAGTTGTATCGCTATTTTCTGCAATCACACGCAAAAGTAATACAGGTAATATTCACAGTATGAACAGAGGATTAAAGATGTATGTATCTACCTATATTCGTGAAAACATTGAAATAAAACAAAAAAAATAATAGACTATTTAGACAACTAAAATTACATACATATAAAAGTTTCATTATACATATGTCTAATTAAATTATTACGTTATAAATTTTATTAGACAATTGTTGATTATATAATAATTAAATTACATAACTTTGATTATAAGCAATAAGTTGAACGAAACTGCTATTGTATATACACTATTACAAATAAATTATTAAATAAGTAAGAAAGTTCACCAAACATTGTCAAGGTTGGACATTGATACTTTAATAATGATATATACAATTTTTGATGTTATAAGTGCTTTGAAGTATTTTTTGATTTTGATGAAATTTTCTTTCCCTCGATTTTGGTTAATCAAGTGCTTTGAAGCATTTGTCGCACTCACTATTTCTACATAAATTTTAAATATATTCTTTCAGTTATATAAACTGCACACTACTCGTTTACTTACTACTTACAAGACAATATAATGCAACATAATATAATAATAAACTGAAATAATAATCTCATAAATTTTAAATTGATCAATTTAATAATAACACTATTAGCCACTGTCTTAAAACACTAAAAACTCATTGAAAAATATTACCTTACTCAGGATTTAGTAAATCTGGAATCTCTCGACTATCCAGTATAAGTGTCTTCTTTGCAAGTAATGGGTGCAGTTTATATAACTGAAAGAGGTATTTAAAATTTACAAAAAAATATTAGTAGACATCAATGTCTACTCTCGACTATGTTTGGCATTTTCTAGTTAATTTATTACATAATATTTATATTATTAATCACAGATAAAATGAAATTCAATTCGAAACCGACCGAAAATCAACTTGAATCGAATTAAATCACCCAACGTTTATTCTGCACGAAAGGGTTAACCTCTCCGTCGATCGTTACGCAATCATTTTTGTTTCGCCTGAAACAAAATTATTTATGAATTGATGATGAACTGATGATTACGTAATTGAGTCAACGAACGACTACGTTCAGTTTGGATCCTCACAGAGTTTTTGTCCTTGTTTACATCTATGAATAACAAAGGTAGAATAATGATTATAAGCCGTTAAAAAGTGTCAGCGTCCACACCGAAACGGAATGATGTTCTTATCATTCGCAAGGCAAGATCAGGCGAGATGCACGCGGAGCGAGCAGAATCAGCTGAGTCAGAAACTGTTAGAGGACGATCTGCGACGAGATGCCGCGGTCACAGGTGACGGGATCACGCGGCAGTTGCAGGAGAAAGAAGGTTAAATATAACGAGCTTACCCTAAATCCAGAATCTCTTCAAATTACACGACGCGCTTCAGGGATTTCAGTGGATGGATTTCAGGACTTCAGGCATCGGTCATGTATCTCTGCGTATCTCCTTCAATCAACCTTCACGGAATTCTCTCAATACTACGGGAAATATTACTTAAAAATATTAAAGACTTAAATTCTACGAATATACTTTAGCAAAGAGAATCCAATTAAATATTAATTCTCGACTTCTCACTCTGAACTTTTCAATATTGAAGTATTAACGAAGGAAAAATAGTTTTCTTATCCTCCGGACGATCTTCTCAGATTCAATCAAAAGATCAAATCTCGATCTTGGACATCCGTATGATTCAGAAAACTCACGCGAGGCGAATCTAACCTCTAAACTGATCTAAACCGACCTTCCGTTCTTGATTTACTCGAAGGAGATTCTTGATACGACGATGATACAAGTTTGTCATTCGTGGAGGAAAAGGAAAGGAGAGTTAGGAGAAACGTGAATGCGAACAATCGCGAATGCGAAATTCGCGATCTTGCTAAATCTTGCGGAAGGAAATACGCAGGTCCGAGATTTATACGTGACCTAACCTATACCACCTATATATTCGCGACTTCACCACCTTCACTGCATGTTGCCGCACCTCGACTCCTCTCACGAAATCTATGGAGATCTACGATGAATTATTCTCGCAGTCGCGCGAGACTATCCGCCGAAAATTTTATCATCGAACTCTTTCATTTCTATCGTTTTCTCTCGTTACGTTTCATACATCGAGATAACTTCGTACAATCGAAAAGTATGTATACACGGAACGAGACAGAAATGTGAGAACAATTTCAGATCCTTTTCAGTTTTTTCTGTCCTCGTAAAAAAATGTTTCCCTTAAAAAGATGTTTTTTTTCTTAAGAAAAGTTTTATTCGATTCGTTGCATAACACGATTACGTGATTTGATGTTTATATTTATAGGAAAATAATTCTCATGGACAGGTGCGAAAAATTTTATTAACCTTCTGATGCATGGGATCTACAGCAGCCTTTTTGTTTAAGAAAGACAAGAAATAGTTGCAATAATTAGAGCCAGGCAGACGTTTTGTAAATTTTTCAAAACCTCAGTCGCGCCTGAAGCGCGAAAGTTGGTTACTTCTATCTTACAATATTACTTATTATTACAAAAATTAGGTGATGTGCCTCTATCGCTATCTAATCGTTCGTCGATGTAGCACGCAAGGAAAAAAAATAAAGCATTGGAAATTTAACGGTATGTCGACGAAATTAAATTCCGAACGTCGAAATACGGAGCGGAATAGACACTACTTACCAGCTTGTATCGAAACCAACTGATAAAAGAGATCAGAAAACGCTCCGTCGCAATCGTCTATACACCGATCTGATGACTTGAACGCGCACGATACGCAGACCATGAACTAAATATTGTTTAGAGGGAATGCAAACGGTACTCGTAGTATAAGAAGCCAGCCTGAGCCAGCGCGATATTAGGCATAAACTGTAATAAGGAAGGTGGAAATGGTGGAATCCATAAAAGAAGAAGGAGAAACTTGAGATTTTATTATTTTTCTCCAATAAAAGGAAACAAGCTGAAGCTGAAGTAGGGGAGACAATAGAAGAGAAACAAGAAAAAAAAATTTTGGAGGCAATTAGCTTTAGTGAAGAGAAGCTAATGAAGATCTATTATATTTTGTATATTATCTGTATATTCTGTTGCACTATATATTCTGTTCCACAAAATGATCAGCT